GTAATGTCAGTCTTGGGCTGGTTGGGATCTCCACCCACACAATTCCAATTCCAAAAGATCTCCAATACTTGGGAACAAAAAATGAACTTCAGGCACTCCTGCGTGGAGCAGCACCAGATGCATTTGAATTAGGTTAAAGAGCCTTTATTCCAAAACGTGGCTGCTGACATTAAAACACCCACTGGTTTTGACTCTATGGTCTTCGTCAGAGTGCAAAAGGTTGGACAGGAGCAATGGATTATAATGAGAAGCCATTTTGAAAGTGACACGCCTCCACAAGCGTTTAAAAAAACAAGAAGAAAAAGAAATCCCCGTGCTAAAATGAGAAATTACTACGAACCAAATGTCAAAAATATGCATGTAAAAAAGGAAACTACTATAACAAACATCAAAAAACATACACCAGAAAAAAAAGGGAAGGAAAGATTACTTAAATGGTATCCCTAAGCGAGGTGAGGTGTAAAAGAGTCCCTGCTTCAGTCTTACATCGAGGACAGTGCTCCGAGTAGCTGCTGCTTATCTTGCAGAGATGATACAGGTCACATAAACCCCATGTGTTACGTTAAACTGTGTCGGCTGTTATGGGAGAATGACTGAGAGCTATCACAAATCAGCTTCCACTCAGAGTCCTCAAATGTACGGTTAATGTCCCAGTGTCCACCTCCCATTTAATGTTTGCATTTTTGCATGGTGTCTTGGTGTTAGCACTGAAGTTGAACACAAGAAACCAAATGCTTAGTGTTTGGATTTGGCTTTTTTTATAGGTGACCAATTATTTGCAATGATAAAACAAGAAATTTGGTATCTTATTTAAAAGTTTGCAAGGTCATATCAAGATCATAAACTCTATTTATACATATGTGTCCAGTCCTTGTTCGCTCAGACGTCATCTCACATGTCGTTTCTTTCAGATTCCCTACGCAAACATCATCAGAAAAGAGAAGATCAGCTCCCATCTCAACAAGTAGCTCCAAGGTGAGTGATTTTTAATTAATTTGATAATGCAGCTTAGTCATAGAAAAAAAGAAAATGTCAGCACAGGTAGGTGTCAGATGAGGATTTAAACATTTAATTACGTATACCACAAAGCAGAGGAAGTTCAACAAAGTTTAATTGCCTTTGATGTGGTTTTAATAGATTTTGGAAGCTGGGCCACATTTAGGATTTGACAGTTTGCAGCCAGACGAGGCTGTAATCTGACAATTACACTGGTGTTCTTTTACTTAAGGTGGTGATTTAATGGCAAATTGTGAAATTCAATTACTATTTGGTGTTTAATGTGCTTGACAGTTAATTATCCTGGTCTGGCAAACTACAGCCACCCGAGAGCAGAAAACTTCACTTGACTAGTCTTTAAAAAACACTTAATTATGTCATTTATTTATTGTTTTGCAGGCTACATCAACGCAACCCCATGTGAGAGGAGGAAGCTGTGTGGATTAAGAAAAAAAACAGTCATGAAAAGTGACAGAGAAAAGTAGGAGAGACACAAACAGAGAGGAATATGACACTATATAGTCTATAAATACATTTCTTAAGTTTTCCTGGGACAGCGATGTTTCAGCCTCTGCAGCACAGCCTCTGTTAATAACCCTGCACTTAAACTCTGTCTGTTAGGAACACATTTGAGCCAGTTTGTACTGCAGCGAGGTAAAAGTTTCACCCTTGTTTCCGTCTCCCTGAGTCCAGTTTATTCCCCAAACTGACTGAACTGAAAGGGGCACAAACTGGTGACATCAGGGGAAACACAACGACCTTCGCTCTTTCCTCATCGTCAGACTCGAAGCTTTACCAACCAGGACCAAAGCGACCGCATTTTAGGGCCGTTGAATAGGAAACTCTGAACTTTTTAGACCTCTTTAAGAGACAAAAAGCAAAAGGAGAGAGTCAGACTGGGCGTCCATGACTGCTGCTGGCCCAACTGTACATACACCAGACTGCGGCTGAGGACAGTCTTCACACTAAGATCGTTGCTGTTGTTAGTATCGCTATTGCTGTGGTTGCCCTGAAGCGAAACAGACACACCAACCTTCATGTATTGGCAACATTTGATCCCAAAGGGATTATCCTTACCACGTCCAGTTGTGTTTATTGACCAAAACAAACGTTCCCCGTGAACACATATCACCATTCCCACCAGGTCAGGTGTCAGTGGTGACCTGATGCACCCATGTTCGGTCCTTTAGATATCCCTGACTTGAATATGCCAGATGAAGAACAAAATAAAGAGGAACAGGAAGGAAGTGTTTCTTTGGGTTTTAAGCCCAAAGATGCAACAAGAGCAGGGTGGTGTCACACTTTGAGCAAGCTGTACACTGGCAGAGCAGTTTGTACCTGTAGTGTTGGTATTTGGGAGCGAGTGTACAAAAAAAACAACAGTATTATGTTAAATGCTCCGATAAAACATTTTCACATTTATTTAAACAGGAAAAGTCACCCTTAAAACAATGTTCAACGCCTTCTACTGTTAATTTCCAAGCATATCAAACAGCTGGAGAATCCTCTGTTCAAAGGGATTTTTACCCTCCACCCAGACAGGCGTCACCTCCACCAGGAAGTGAAGGTAATATCGCCGCCATCGGCTAAATGTTCAAGGTGGTGAATTGACATTTAAAGGTGTCGGGGCCATGAGGAGCAAAAGACTGAAGCGTGTCAGTGTTGTATATCTACCTGTAAATGATTCCACCCGACTGTATAAAAGTCATAATGTGAGAGTATTGAACCTCACAGTCAGTCTATCTATATGTGTTTGTTTGTTTGTTTATTTATTTGAGTACCGGGGGCCGAAGACCCCGATTGTGGAAATATTATTTATTATAATGTGAAAAGAAAAAGAAAGCAATGTGTCGATGATGATGATGATGGTGATGATGATGGTGCAGTCACGTGTATGTCAGAGAGAATAAAAATGAGCACTCACCCACCTTGTTTATAGAATGCGATGAATGAATGAATGGATAAAGCTGTCATCTACTGAGAGAGATGTTATCATATTAAACTGTTAATGCAGATGTATTTAAATATGTTCTTGTAGTTTCTCTACTATTTATGTGTAAATTAAAAGTCTATACAATAACCAGAATGTGCTTTCATGATTAGGCCTGTCTGCTGCTTATGGGAAAATAATCCTTTTAGCTCCATGCTCAAATTAAGAAGTGAAATAAATGTGATATAAACAGGGACATAGCACCAAATTCAGGACCCTGTAAGCAGTCTCTGTAAGCCCCCGCCCTTCCTGTCTTGATCCATATCTCTTTTTTTTATGAACCAGTTTCATTTCATTTCTTTATTTTTTTGGAACCCAAATTTCCCTCTCTGGCCGAAAGACATGATAATATACATATTATCACATATACATATAATATACACATACATAGTTTAGTTTTGCCACAAAAACAAAACTGAACTTATAAATGCAAAGTTTTTTGGGGCGATCATTCCCACTTCCCCCCCAACTCCATCACCCCTGGGTATAAAACACATGGATTGGTAAAATAAAGATAAAGATACAAACAGTAGCTGACATACAAATGAAATAAAAGCAAATGAGAGATGTCCCAAACAGCAGCACAAGTCAGTCGACAGTGATAGGATAATATGAATATTTCAATCAGGAGAGAGAGATGTTTTTATGGTTAAAGAATATTTATTAACGTGAACGAATGAATAAGAATGGGACAAGTCTTTGGCGATTAGATGGAGAAGTGCCGATGATCTGGATGAGTAGAGGAATGAGTCTTTGAGAGCTCGTCCTGGACTGTTTATACGATGGCTGGAGGTGAACAGGGTGGAGGAGGGTGCTAAGATTCTGCCTACAATGATGGCTGACAGCAGCAGAAGAGAGAGCAGATTTAAAATTTTGCAGTGGCATCCTGATTGGCTGAGAGATTGTGGCAAAGTGTGATTGGATAACTAGAGGAGTGAACACCCACAGTCAGCTGATTGGAGGGAGTAGTGAGAGTGGGATGGAGAAAAATGTGAAAGGGTGAGCACAAGAAAGGTCTTCCTGATTGAACTTACGCTGAGCTTAATATTGTGAAAACATTAGATCGTTTTGCTTTTTAAAATGTTGTATTTATTTTCAATTACAGCTTTATTAGCCAATTTTCAGTAGAAGAATGAGGAAAATATTTTTCATAAATTAAAATAATTTTCTGCCTTTTTATGGGCTCATTTTTTAGAAAACAAGCAGGGTGGAGGGCACACACATCCCAAAAAAAAAAAAAAAACCTTTTACAGATGCTGGATCAAAAAATCCAAACTTAAGCAAGACCAAGACAGAAGAGCTGCAGTAATTTTAATTGTACGTCTCAGTTTCATCAGGCATTTTGGATATTGCAAAAATTGCAAAATGCCTGATGAAGATTACTGTGAGCTTTTAATACAGTGTGTGGATCTCCTGTCTGGTTCTCATTTTAAAAATAGCCCTAAAATGTACAAAATCAAATTATGCAAACAAACTGCTCAACTCTGTAGAAATGTACAAATTAACTGACCCTGAAAATAATACGATCCACTTTAAATTTGTTTTGTATAATTAATGTTGTATTATTTAGACTTTGTATATATATATATTATTTATTTATTTATTTGTTTATTTTCTGGTAAGTATTTTATTTTTGTCCTTTATTTTGGTTGACATCCTTTTCCCTCTCTTTTTTCTAGTCTGTTTTATGCCCATTTACTTAATAGTATGATGGCCTTATTGTTTTAATTCTTAATAGTTCAACAAAGTTTATAAGAAATTAAATAAAAAATTAGCCTTAATAGCAGTTTTGGGACCTGATTTCCGCATAAATCTGTTTTTAAATTTAATTCAGTTTAATTTAATTTAATTTAATTTAATTCTTATTTTTTGTATTATTATTATTATTATTATTATTATTATTATTATTATTATATATTTTTTAATAAGTTAATTGAAATAAAAGTTGTTGCTGACACAGAGCGCTAACTGGGGACTTCCTTTACTTTACGACCTCCGCTGCCTGTTTACGGCAGCTGCATCTCTGGGAGTGGTACACGAAGAAGAAGGAGGGGGAGACGAAGAAGAAGTTGCCAGCATGGCGTTTACACTCTACTCTCTCATCCAGACCGCTATCCTGTGCACTAATGCAGTGGCTGTGTTACATGAGGAGAGGTTTCTCAGCAAGTGTGAGTCTTATTTTATATTTAATACACCGTCCATCACAGTTAGCTTAAATACCGGAGCTAAAGCAGCTAGCTGCTGCTCTGTTAGCTGCCTGGGTGGCACACACACAGAGCAGAGTCAGGGGGAGAAAACTGAGGTTTGTTCATCAGAGAGATGTTCAGTGTGGGATAAGATGGTTTTGCTTTTCTTAGAGCTACTTAAGGGGAAAATTAAGGGTAAAACTAGCTGTTAAAGCGTTTAAAATAACTGTAAACGTACAATTTCTGTCAAGTTTTTGTCCTCTAACCAACTGTTGTCTCCTGTTTGCTTTCTCTTTTCTTTATATTTGTCCCCTCCTCCTCCTCCCTCTCCTCCTTTTGGTGTCTGTCTGTGTCTGTGTCTCCAGTCGGCTGGGGTGTTGAACAGGGAGTTGGAGGTTTTGGGGATGATCCAGGAATCAAAGCCCAGATTCTGACCCTTATCCGCTCAATCCGGACTGTCATGAGAGGTTGGAGAGCTTGTTTCATTATGTCTCTTAGAAAAATACAGATTTAATCCTGAGTGAATGTCAGATTTCGTAGGGCTGGGTGTATATCCTCTGAAATTTTAGACACAGATTCCAGTGAATGCCTGATTTCCTGGTAGGGATGCACGATAATGTCAGTACATCATCAGTATCAGCCACTATGGGCTTTAAAATGAGCTATCAGACTCAGCCAGCATGCTTTTACTTATTTTGCACAATGAATGACTGTCACATACATTGAAAATTATTGTATTTCACGTCTCCATCTGCTGCTGGTGGGCCAAATCACGATAAGAGTATACATGCATAATATGATGTTGATTCCACTACAGAAGAGACTTGATGATCAATAAAGTTAGGTGGGGAAAGAAGTAGCTATATTTATATCAGTATCAGTTAACGACCAATTAAGTACAGGCAAAAAAATCCCCAAATATATCAATGTTGTGCATCCCTATTTCCTGGTACATATACTGTAACAGTCATTTCTGTTACCTCACAGTGGATAAAGTTTTCTGTAAAGGTCCAAGGTGTGTAAGATTTAGGGGGGTGTAGTGCCATCTAGTGGTGAGGATTGCAGATTGCAACCAGCTGAAACTTCTCCTGGTTAGAATTCAGGAGGTTTTACCGAGCCAAATTATCCACAGAGGTCTCTTCCTCTCCAGAACAAACAGACCTGTTGATTTAAATCATTTTAAAACACCGAAGAAAGTTTAATTAAAAAAAAAAAAAAGCTGTATTTTTCCAATGCCACTCGCTGTGGAGGCGGTAACTATGGTGGCCAATGCGAAAACGTGAATGTCCCTATCTAGAGCCACTGCCTATGTAGATATAAACAGCTCATTCTAAGGTAAGAAAAACACAGCAGGTCTTGTGTTTGGGTGATTATACACTAACGAAAACATAGTTGTTGTATTATCTTCCATTTATAATTATTTATAACTTAAAATCCAGATGTTAAAGGGGTTTTACCAGGAGCTGAATGACCCACAGAGGTCTCTTCCTCTCTAACACAAACAGACTCTGTGATTTAAACAGGTAAAAACACTGAATAAAGCAGTTTCACATTAAAGAAATCTGTTCAGATGCTGCTTGTTGCGGGCAGGCTGTTAAAATGAATGATGTTTGGTTTGTTATGGGCTATTGTACAAACATGGTGATCTCCGTAAACAACGACGCACTCCTTATCTAGATTTAAACGGCTCATTCTAAGGTAATGAAAACACAGTTCTAATTTTCAGGTGATTATACACTAAAGAAAGCATATTGTATTTAATTCCTGCCAATGTATCCCCTGTAAATCCTACACACAGGACCTTTAAAACCTTATTTCTATTTGACAAAATAAACCAAACTTCTCACATGAATCAGTGTTTAATATTTTTCTTCACACAAAGTAGCAACACAAGAACTTTTAGAAGCAAAAACAGGATAAAATCAGCAAACTTACTGTTTTAAATCAGGAAATATCTCATCACAGAACACATAAACTTACTAATCTTCAGTACTTGACCGTTTTGGATTCTCTGTGCCACCGATACATTAAACTCAGTGCCCAAAAAGTGCTGCGGTTTGATAGCCAGCCATGGTATTTAGAGGCTTATGAAGTTACAATATGCTAATTATGTTTTTGTTGTTGTTGTTTCCACAGTTCCTTTGATAATAGTGAATTCAGCCTGCATCGTCCTGTTGTTACTGTTTGGGTGACAGCGGTACGCCGAGCGCCAAAAGGAAGCCAGAGGACCAGACGTGCCAAGGAACGACGTTACTCACACACACACACACAAATATCCGTCATTCAGAGACTTCTGTCTTCACCAGACATCAGCGGGGTGGAGATGTTTGTCCATTGGACTGTCATGTGACCCGGTCAGAGGTGAAGACTAACAGCGGGTCTAACTCTGACCTGACCTGCTCGTCTGTGTGAAACAAAAAGAACGGACTGATGAAATAATTATTCATTGTAACACAAAACTTGATGATGATCATCCAAAACTCATGTTTTTTGCTGTTATTTTATCATGTTGTTACCACAGACTGTGTAAAGAAGTGTTGTCAGCAGTAGGGTTGGACAACATGTAAATATTTATCATGTGCCGTTACATTTTTATTCAAGGCTACAGCTGTCTTTTTTTATTATTATTGTTCTAATAGAAGTTTGGGAGTTTTTGAAACCAGATCAAAGTTACTCAAAGTGTTTTTAAGGCTGCCTCCAAGTCTTATTTTAGACTCCAGTATGACAGTGCAACATTTTGTTCTGAACTTTAAAATAATTCTCAACATTTCCACCTTCAGGTCGGAAAATTTTATTTACTGACAATATAAACTGTTGAATTAATGAAATCTGAAAAAAAAAGTCCAGTTCCAGTTTGATGTTTCATGAACTGTTTCAGTTTAATATGATGAAGAGTGTGTAGTCTTCTTGACTTTAATTTGGGTTAGTTGAACATTGTTTTAAGCCGTGTTCACGTCTGCCCGCTCCGCTGAGTTCAAGTTGACTGCAGATGAAAACGGAGCCTAACAAATTCACCTGGAAACCGACAGACCAAGAGATTCAGGATTTGTCGACACTTTGTCAAACAGACTGTTACTGTTGTTGTTCTCTCTCTCTGTGCCTAACGGACTTTATGGAGAGTCGTTGGTGACTGAAGGAAGGAAATCCACGACCTACCTGACGTTTAATATTTGCTTGTCATTCTCAGTCGTCTCTGTTGATGTGTAAAGACGTTCTGTGATTCATCCGTCTGAGAGAATTCAGTTAAATGTGGGTTTAATGTAGATTTGAAGCAATATTGCCAAACACAGCTCAGAGCAATGCACCTTGGTGCCGTTTACACATCGACACCCTCTCAGTGCCAAAAATACTGGGCTGGTAATGAGATGTTTGTTGTCTTGAAATAAACGTAGTGCTCAGTTGAAATGAAATGAAGTTAATGATTTTATTATCATTGTATGTTCACATACAACGAAATTCACTGTCTCTTAGAAAACATTCACTCAACACATATTTGCAAACATTAAAATAAGATAAGGCTAAAATAAAAAGTTGGGGTAGAGAGTTCAGATTGTGTTTGGCTGTGAGGTAAAGACTGTTTCTCAGTCTGAAGGTGAAGCATATCAGGGCCCTGTAGTGTCTTCCAGAGGGCAGCAGTGTGGACAGGTGGTGACGATTAATGAAATGAAAGTCTTCTTATTGTCTTTAATTATAAAAAGGTCACTTTTTCCAGAGTACATTTCAAATGACGCCAGTCTTACTGTGATGAGAATGCATTTTACAGCAGTACTTTTACTTTAATTCAAGCAAATCTTGGCTAAATAATAGAACTTTAATAGTTGTTATTTAACCCATATTTCACCAGGTAAGTCCCGTTAAGATCAATTATCTCTTTTACAAAGGAGACCTGGCCACGATGGCCACATACAAAAAGTTACAGCCAAATAACCGTGCAATAAAAACATACAAGACATACAGAAATCTTAGAACACTGAAGCACAATGACAAGATCCAACAGACTCATTCATTCTTGTACCTATGAGAGCTTTAAAATCAGGCAGAGAGACCAGTTCACATAGTTTCAAATCTTTTTGAAGGTTATTCCAAGTGAGAGGAGCAGTGCACATTAAAGATTTCTTTCCCGGGTCAGTCTGCACCAGGAACAGACATTAAAACTAAGTCTTGAGATCTTAGACTGTAGCTACTGTCTCATCTCTGTTCAATCAAGGTACAGATGTACGAAGGGAGTCAACCCAGTGTGGCTTTATAAATCAACAAATACTAGTGACTGAGCCTGAGAAAGGTCAAAGAAGGCCAGCCAGTCCTGGAGTAAGACAAACAGTGATGAGTGAGGGCTTTTTTCTTTAAGGAAACCTTAACTTCAGCCTCAGCTTTTTATGAGGGATTATCAACCTGAGGTTTAAAAGACAGGGAGATATTTGTAACCATTGACAGCGTCTGTCTTCTTTCCCTGAACAGTAAGAACATCAGGAGTGTTCACAGACTTCTTCCTAACATTTTAGAAATGCATAACCATTTAAAACTAGCTTTAGTTGTGAAAGCTTAATCTGGAGTGTTTTGATTTCGACAGTCTTGAGAATGCTACTGCAGCATCTCTGCTGCTCTGTGTGAATATTACCTTATTCTCTTGCCTCCATGTTTGTTCCCCATCCATCCATCCCTGCTCCACTTCCTTAATAATCCCCGTATGTTGTGAATTATCACCACTTCCTCCCTCTGCTAAGCTCCACAAACATTTTATTAACACTACTGTAGTTTTGAGTCCGTGAGAGGGGGGAGTGAGCGGGAAAAGGGGATCTGTTGGAATTAGAAGCATATGTTTATCAGGGAGATTTGCACCGCAAAGCCACTTTGATCTGTGATTAGTCCGAGTTTAGCCGGGGGTTCACGGTCAAAGCTGTAAGCGATCATACATGAGAATGTATCTGCACTTCACAGGTCACGATGTGTTTGGGTGATAAATCAGTAGAGTTTGTTTTTAAGGGACTTGAAGATATTTCCTTTTTTTGTGCCACTTGTGAATTGAATTAACCCAAAAAAGACAAGCTCAACATTTGAAAGCTTGACATAAACTCTATTTTTTTGATAATTGATATATACAGTGGCTATAACTCTATAGAATTAGAATTTAAAGAAAGAAAACTGAGCCTGACGGTTTGAGACTTTACACACCGAGAGGCTGTCCATCAGAGCAACAGAGGTAGCAGGTAGTTCAAATTTAGAATAAATATTAAAATGAAAAGTAAATGAAAAATATCTTTGCACGTTTATGTTATTTACTGGCACACAACTGTGGAAAGGAGACAACAAAAGCACAGAAACCAAAAAATAATAGAGGTTAGAATAAAAAAAAGGAACAAAAACACTTACACCAAGGGGATTTAAAAAAAATATTTTATCTGAACAAAAACATGCATAGTATAAGATTAGTTTAATGTTTTCCACAGTTGATCGGCTGCAAAATATTTGTGTGGAAACCAAAACTAAAAAACAAAACTGCGAAAACGTGTTGTTCGCTGGAGGTATATGAAAAGAGGATTTGATCAGTGTTGTCTGGCGCCATGCAGAGAGATGGTTTTTATCGTTTAGATAATACCTCCCCTCAAATCTATCTGAATGCCCTAAAAAGACCCACTAATGCGATACATCTGTTGGTTGTTAGTAGGATGGGACACATATGTTTTTGTTTTTTTATTATTATTCTAATGAGTGATTAAGTGGTTGAGGATAACCCTCTTATCTGATTATAACATATGAATTGATAAAAAATAAAATAATAGAGAGAAGAGAGAGTGATATAAACAAGTGAGAGTGTTATTAAAGATGTTTTCCTTAAATTTAAAAAAAAAACAACAGCAAAAAACAAAACAGAAAAACTATCTCTATAGAGTTACAGGCATTGAAAGAAAGAGAGCAGAGGTCGTTGCGGTGTTTGAGCTGCAGGTGGCAGCAGTGCGCCCTTCGAGACTAAACCCATTTGACACCAGCGAAGAAGAAAACGTCATCAGGAAGCAGGAAGAGGAGCAGCTGTTGCTAAAGGTTAGCTTAGTAGTTTGCTGACTTTCTAAACATGTAAACTTTATTTTTTGTGACTTTGTGCGGTTTAAACCGCGACATTTTGTGACAGCGATGGAGTCGCTCACTGTGCGGGAATTAAAAGTTCAAATTTAACGCTAAATAAACGCCACTTTAGCTTTTAGCATTCATGCAGGTCCAATGAGAGCAGGTTGAACAGTGATGGTGATAATGAGGCTTTTAGCTTAATGTAAGTTGTTTTATTTGTACATGTAGTGGCGGTTGACAAGTATTTGATAAAGTAATCTTACTGTAATCAGCTTGAGAGGTGCTAGGCCAGTAAATATCACAATATTACAGTTGATAACACCCAGACAACACCAGTGCAACTGAGAGTAGAGGCAATAAATAAGGAATAAAGAAATAATACAATGATTATGATGCTGTATTGTGGGGTTAGTGGTGCTCTCAAAGGCTCTTAATTTGTCCCCTTGAATTTAATTTTAAAATCCTTAAAACACACACACACACACACACACACACACACACACACACACACCTCCATTGAAGTTATACAGTGCTTAAACTGGGTTAAATATAATTTTTCATAGCAGATACTATGACTTTTCACAGTAGGCAAAGCACAGGTGTTATTAACACAATTAATTATGGCTGAATTATTTGTAGCTGCTTTGCTTCCAGGTCCCTGGTATCGTGCATGGTCACCGTAGAAAAGTAGCTCCCAGAGTTTTTCCTTTTGGGACCCCTTTTCTCTCACTGTGTGAACTGACAATTTGGATATCTTATTATATTATGTATTGTACATATCAGTGCATAAATAACAATGTGAGTACAGAACAACGGATAAACTGCTAAGTTAATGAGCACAGCAACTGCAGGTTTGTGTGCAACAAGCATTTCCTGGAGCATTATATCAGAGATGTAATTATACAATTGTCTGTATTTTTTTGACAAATTCAAAGACGCTTAGCCTGTAGCTCTCTGGTTGTTTTAACGGCATGCTTTTCTGATGCAGGACAAGGCTGTTTAAAGGAACATTTAGATCTTAAATGATAATCTGTACTTTAAAAATATCAATTTCATTTAGTTTTCTCCACAGACATGAATGAAAGGTTGTGATATAGGCCCACTGTGTGTTAAAGATTTTCCTACACCCCTTAAAAATCAAAAGGGCCTCGCAACCCCTTGTGAAGGTTCGGTGACCTGGATGGGACCTCCAGTTTGGGAACCAGTGCCATAGGCGCTTACTGTCGCTCACTGTCACTCTGTGACAGTCACTGGAACACTTGAAAACAACAGAGCCATCGTTGATGTTATTATATTAACACCTGGGCTTTTCCTACTCTTGACAAGTCAGAATGTCTGCTATGAGAAAAGCCTGTTTAGGTGTTTCAGGTCTATGGCCATACTAGTAGGCATGCAGGGTAACTGGCATGGCTGACTGGGGCACTTGCAGAAAATGAAATGCAGGTATCTTTATGTTATTGGTTACACCACTGCTCAGCGTGATGAGAAGGCCCATAACCTAAGGTGCCGTGTCATACACTTTTCCCGTAAAATCAATCTGATATATCTGATATCTTGAGGAACTTAAAAACTATTTTCTATGTATTTCAACCTTTATTTACACAACCAGAGGTCGCTGTAAACTGTTGCTATACAACTGAGAAAATAAGATGCCCTTTCAGTGTCTACAGGGGTATTGTTGGCATGACACAGGGATGTTCTCTCAACCCGAGCAACAGTACATCGCTTGTAGAGCAAGAAAATAACTCAATATTGTTGTCTTTTTTTGTTCATTTTTTAAAAATATTTTTTCATGCTGTTTGCCTCCCTAAATTACAATTCAACAAAACAAATCTGAATGAACACTTAAAAATGATTATTAATAAGTACAAAAGTTATATCAAGTATAATAAAGTCACCTAAAAACTCAATACCACATACACACCAGAGGTCAGTGTTAGAGAAATGTGAAGTTTGTTAAATTACAACCCCAGTTTCCCTTTAACATCCCCACCACACACACACACACGCACACGCACACGCACATGCAAGCGCACGCACACACACACACACACACACACACACACACACGCAGGAAAATAAGCTTATTCTCAGCTTGGCACTTTGCTCACAGCACGGTTTCCTGTTATTAGTTGAGCTCAATACAAATAATAGATAAATGACCTACAGCCTGTGTGTGAGTGTCTGTGTGTGTGTGTGTGTGTGTGTTTAAGCTATTCTGGGTGGGTATTAAGAGCATTAATTGTACTCTCACATTGATAACTACATGACAGAAATCCAAGCATGTCTAAATAATAGGGGATCACACAGTCAGGGAGCAGTAAAGTACAATCCCAAAATCTGTAGTCCAGGCAGGAAGCCATCAGTTCTGGGGACAAAGCGGTCAATAATCGGCTCAGTTGGTCCTGATGATCTGATCAGTTCTGCTACTACCTCTGTGAATTATGATTATGAATGTGTAATCTCTAAAATAATATATTATTATGAAAGAATAAGCTTTTTTAAAGGGAGTAAATCTCCATTTACAGCGGACCTTGGCCATATTTAGCAGTTTAAAAAATCCTAATCGGGGACTGTGCTCCAGCAGCTCTTTTCTAACAGCGGACTCAGTGTTTGCCGGTTTTCAGCTGTTTATTTAAAGTGAGTGAAAGTAGAATTACACTAACCAAATAACAAAGATTATTATTACACATATCACATCAAAATCTTGGTTAAATCTATGATGTTATGAATTGTAAGTGTCCAACACTGCCTCTAAGATGGTTCCAAAGCAGGACCCTGTGTCACCATGCTCACGCCCGTTGAACCATAGGTTACGTATATCACGTCCTCCTCTGCAGGTGTCCAGCATGGCGGGCAAACGGGCTCTGAAAGCCGTGCTCATCGACCTGAGTGGAACATTACATATAGAAGACACAGCAGTGCCCGGGGCGCAGGATGCCCTGAAGAGGTACGGAACAGCACAAAATGGAGGGTGTAGAGTCATCCTTAAATTTATTGTAGATTCATATAAATTCTAATTGTGCTTTTAAAGCAAGATGTTTGGTTTTGTGTTTGGCGCCGTCAGGTTACGGCAGGCATCTGTAGCTGTGAAGTTTGTGACCAATACAACAAAGGAGAGTAAGAGGATCTTACTGGAACGACTGCAGCGGCTCAACTTTGACCTCCAGGTGAAACATCCAAAGCCATGTTTAATTTAGGGCAGATGATTTAATTGAGGTGATTCATAACAGATCAACACAGATTCTTTTGCTTTTTCTTCCTTTTTCATGACTTTATTTTTTAAAATGAACATCACTCTGCAGGAAAAAGAGATCTTCACTTCACTGAGTGCAGCCAGGAGTTTGTTAGAGAAGCAGCAACACAGGCCGCTGCTGCTGGTGGAGGACAGCGCACTGGAAGACTTCACTGGTACGGAGCTGTGAGTATAGATGTGTGTGTGTGTGTGTGTGTGTGTCTGTCACAGCTGTTTGCTTTGTTTGCTCCATCATCACTGATCTGTCTCATTATAAAGAGACCAAAGCCCAGACTGATGTACAGTGTGCCTGTTAGGCTCATCTACTCAAGTAATAGAGTGATGCTTGATGCTGCGTTCGTTTTGTACTCGGAGGTCGGAAGTGGGAAGTGAATGACGTCACCTCCGAGTTGTCAACAGTTTTTGCATTCTAGTTGACAACGGTGGACAAGTCGGAAAAAAACATGGACGCCCGCAAGAAAGCCTTTGTTGCCCTCGCACTTTCGGAGCATAGACAGCTTCAAAACCATCATGCACTCCAACTGATGACCGCCGCAGATGAGGCTGACCTAATGTAAAACAAATAAGATAAAACTGCTATAAACAGTACTTTAGCAGAGTGTTTACTCACTATGCATGTGACCGGCAGCCATCTTGAATTCGTAAGTCGGGGTTGATGCAGTTGCTCCGAATCTCCGAGTTGGAAATCCGATCTCAGGGTGCATTCAAGTTTAAACTTCCGACTGGGAACTGGGAATTACCGACCTCTGAGTACAAAACGAACGCACCTTTCGATCAGTCCTTCCCAACTGGTAGGTCGAGGGTTGTTTAAGAATGGACCACACATGACTTGTGAAGGACCTTAATCTAATGACTAAGGACCAGTTGGGAACCACTGAACATCTTCCCCTGTTCATCTCTGTGGAGCAGCTCCAGACTTTATACCCTACGACATCACAGATTTGAGTTTCAGCACTCCTGCTTTTGGGCTTGGGAGAGTTGTTCATGATTGCTAATATTTTTGGACTATCTTACACCAAAGAGAAAACATGTATTTGTTTCAGCAACCTGAAAACCTTGTATTTCCATTCCAATCTAGTGATTTTGCAGCTGCTACAAAACCTTTGTTTTATCCTTACCGCCTTTTTTAAAGCGGGTTTGTCAGTGTTAAACAAACAGTGACAACATTCAACCTGTTGCGCTGCCAATAGTTTGTTTAAAGAGGTCAGGAGCCAAAGAGTAAACTACTGCTGTTAGAGCTGATCTTGACCTCTGACCTCTGTGTGGATAGGGTTGAAAAAGAGAGAAGTTCACTGGGATGAATAAAGATTATAAGAGCCCATTCACTCAGCACTGGAGAACCCAAACTGATCAATTTAAAATGATATGAGATGAATAAATACAACAACACTTTACATTTGTGACTGCAGTTTTTATTCAGCAACTGTTTTCCAACGGAATAATCTTAATCTTGTCTTTCCATTTCCAGGTATCTCCACGTCGGAGCCAAACGCGGTCGTCATCGGACTTGCTCCCGATCACTTCAACTATGAAGCACTCAACAAGGCTTTCAGGTGGGAGACTCGTTGTTCAGTGAATCACAGAACATATCAGTTCCTATTTTTTTGGATGTTCCTGACGGGTTATGTTACTGTCTAGTCTCTAATCTCGCTTGTACAAAAAAAAAAGCAAAATCAAGTTTTTAATTTGTCTTTTTATGCATCTGCACCTGCGATAGCCTTGGCCAGAGGCTTCATGTTTTTTGGTTGTTGATCCATTTGTCTGTCCGTCCGTTCCATTCTCAAACAGGAACATGATATCTCAAGATTGCCTTGATGAAATTTCTTCAAATTTGGCCCAAATGTCCTCTTGGACTCAAGAAGATTAGATTTTGGGGGTTATAGGTCTGAGTCAACATCTTTGTGACCTTATCTGTCTCATTCTTGTGAACGCAGTATCTCAAGAAAGCCCTTAGGGAGTTTTTTCAAATTTGGCACAAACTTTGCCTCATTCTCAACGATGAACTGATATGAATTAGATGGTCAAAGTTCAAGGTCACTGTCACTTCGTCACAAAAAACAACCTTTATTTATCTTATCTAATATGTAACGAACTTAACTGAAGCGGACTGCTGGGAGGGAACAAGGCTTTACTCCGTAAATGCCGTCTAAACTTTGTTGTACTTTGTCTTTCTCCAAGTTATTATTTTTGACACATACAGTGAAGCTTGTTAATCACGTATATTTAAAGCCATACATGGGCTGGCACCCCAGTAAATTGCTGAACTTCTCTGCCCCTACTCCAACTCCCGACCTCTCAGATCCTCCGAACATTGTCTTTTAACTTTCCCGCGATCAATGCCGGTGGGTAAGGGAGATCGTGCCTTTGTGGCAGCTGGAATAGCCTTCCGCTCTAAATCAAATGCTCTCCTTCCATTGTTTTAAAATGTGCTATATAAATAAACTTGATTTGATTATTTCTCCCCAGAATGATCCTGGATGGAGCTCCTCTCATCGCCATCCATAAGGCTCGGTACTACAAACGGAAGAATGGTTTGGCCCTGGGCCCCGGGCCCTTCGTGACAGGACTAGAGTACGCTACAGACTGTAAAGCTACTGTGGTGGGAAAGCCGGAAAAGACTTTCTTCACACAGGTTAGACATTGATCATTTTACTCAAGAAAAAGAAAGGGAGGCAAAATTTGTATTTATCACAAACATTTGAAACATATTATTTGAAACTGAACTCATGATTTGCTGTTTTCGACAAACTGTAGTGTCCTTTCATGTCTGACGTCAGTATTTCTTGTGGGTTTTTTCCTTTTAGTATTGTCCGAATTGATTTTATATTAATGAAACTTGATAACCTCTAAAGAAACCCTCATTTTCTTTTGTTTGTTTTTTTAAACAGGCTCTGTCTGATTTGGGATGTAGCCCCAATGAAGCTGTCATGATAGGAGATGTAAGTATGTTTCCAAACTTGACACCTGTCACGCAAAATAGAAAATTCTTTTCAACTAAATATTGTTCTATGAGACTAAATTTCTCTAAAAAATATTTATCAGATTGTAGAGAACTGTTGGAACTTCTACCCCAAATAAAATAAAATTTGATTAGGAAGAAACAAATTTTAAACAACTTATAACCATTTCCACAGCAGCCAGTGAACATGAGTGCAGTGATGTGTACACTTTATTAAAAGCTGGTTTGCTGTGGTTTGTGCCCCGTTGCTGTTTTCCCATAGGATGCCAGAGATGATGTGGGTGGTGCTCAGAACGCAGGGATGTTGGGGATCCTGGTCAGAACTGGTGAGACGAAACGTCCTCCTCCAGTTTATTCTAATCCTTCCACCAGTTTCACTTTCAGTTCTTCCTTTTCTTGTCTCCACGTGAACTTACCTGACAGCAACTGACTGATGGATACTAAGCTATGACTTTTTACATACCATACTTTGACTTTTTTTTATTGACAAACTTTACTTTGACTTTTTTTTTTTTTTCGTTTTTTGTGAGGACATACTGTACTATAACTTTTTTTCATGATTTGGGACAACATACTATACTATGAATTTTTTTCATGTTTTGGGACGACATACTATACTATGACTTTTTTTCATGATTTTAGACGACATACTATACTATGACTTTTTTTTCATGATTTTAGACGACATGCTATACTATGACTTTTTTCATGATTTGGGACGACATACTATACTATGACTTTTTTTCATGATTTCCGATGACATACTATACTATGACTTTTTTCATGATTTGGGACAACATATTATACTATGAATTTTTTCATGATTTGGGACAACATGCTATACTATGACTTTTTTTTCATGATTTTAGACAACATACTATACTATGACTTTTTTTCATGATTTTAGACGACATACTATACTATGACTTTTTTTCATGATTTCCGATGACATACTATACTATGACTTTTTTTCATGATTTGGGACAACATACTATACTATGACTTTTTTTCATGATTTTAGATGACATACTATACTATGACTTTTATCAGAGTTTTTTTTTTAGCACATACTATACTATGACATTTTTTAATGATTTGGGACGACGTACTATACTATGACTTTTTTTCATGATATGGGACGACATACTATACGATGACTTTTTTCATGGTTTTTATAACATACTATACTTTTACTACCACTAAAATACTCCTTTATCTCCTCCCAGGTAAATACAGAGAAGGAGACGAGAAGAAAATTAACCCTCCTCCCCACCTGACATGTGACAGTTTCGCAGAAGCTGTTGAACACATCTTGAAGAATCTGCTATGAGATGTCACAGTCCAGCTGCCAGTTTTCAATGTTAGAAAATTATTGGTGTTGTAACAGAGGAGGGAAGGAAATCATTCAATTGTTCCCCTCAACTTGATTAAGGAAATATCAACATCCTGTTAATCTGATTAATTATGCAAAAAATTGAAATGATAAATTAAAAGAAAAATGTCAATTTGAGTGTGGGATGACTTTTTCAAGTCAGAATGCTTAAAAAGTAAAAGGAAAACATGCATTTTCCGGCACCTGTTACCACTTTAAAAAATGTGATGTTATTGTATGGTAATGTATATGAGATTAAATAAATGAATTAAAAAAAAAACAAAACAAAAAAAAACAACTGGTATTGTGTATTATTTGACTGTGTTTGAACTTCTTTTAGAATATAACAAAATGTAGAAACAAAGTTTTCCGGTTCTTGTTCTTGAAAGAAACAGTATAGTATGCAATGCAAAATAATTTCAGCAGATCATCTCATAAAAAGGAAAAAAAGAGCCATTGTGTAGTATGTTATAAAAATGGCAAAAAGTCGTATGTCGTCCAAAATCCTGAAAAAAACGGTCATAGTATAGTATGTCGTCTAAAATCATGGAAAAAAGTCATAGTATGTCGTCCAAATCTATGAAAAAATGTCATAGTATAGTATGTCGTCCAAAACTATGAAAAAAAAAGTCATAGTATGGTATGTTGTCCAAAACCATGAAAAAAAGTCATAGGAGAGTATGTCGTCCCAAAACATGAAAAAAATTCATAGTATAGTATGTCGTCCGAAATCATGAAAAAAAGGTCATAGTATAGTATGTCGCCCAAAACCATGAAAAAAGTCATATTATAGTATGTCGTCCGAAATCATGACAAAAAGTCATAGTATAGTATGTCATCCAAAACCATGAAAAAAGTCATAGTATAGTATGTCATCCCAAATCATAAAAAAAGTCATAGTATAGTATGTCGTCCGAAATCATGACAAAAAGTCATAGTATAGTATGTCATCAAAAACCATGAAAAAAGTCATAGTATAGTATGTCGTCCGAAATCATGGAAAAAAGTCATAGTAGTTATCGTCCAAAACCATGAAAAAAGTCATAGTATAGTATGTCGTCAGAAATCATGACAAAAAGTCGTAGTATAGTATGTCGTCCAAAACCATGAAAAAAGTCATAGTATGTCGTCCGAAATCATGAAAAAAAAAGTCATAGTATAGTATGTCGTCCAAAACCATGAAAAAAGTCATAGTATAGTATGTCGTCCGAAATCATGAAAAAAAAAAAGTCATAGTATACTATGTCGTCCAAAATCATGAAAAAAAGTCATAGTATAGTTATCGTCCAAAACCATGAAAAAAGTCATAGTATATAGTATGTCGTCAGAAATCACGACAAAAAGTTGTAGTATAGTATGTCGTCCAAAACCATGAAAAAAGTCATAGTATAGTATGTCATCCAAAATCATGGAAAAAAGTCATAGTATAGTATGTCGTCCAAAACCATGAAAAAAGTCATAGTATAGTATGTCATCCAAAATCATGGAAAAAAGTCATAGTATAGTATGTCATCCAAAATCATGGAAAAAAGTCATAGTATAGTATGTCGTCCAAAACTATGAAAAAATGTCATTGTATAGTATGTCGTCCAAAACTATGAAAAAAAAGTCATAGTATGGTATGTCGTCCAAAACCATGAAAAAAAGCCATAGGAGAGTATGTCGTCCCAAAACATGAAAAAAATTCATAGTATAGTATGTCGTCCAAAACCATGAAAAAAGTCATAGTATAGTATGTCGTCCAAAACTATGAAAAAATGTCAATGTATAGCATGTCGTCCAAAACCATGAAAAAAAAGTCATAGTATAGTATGTCGTCCAAAACCATGAAAAAAGTCATAGTATAGTATGTTGTCCGAAATCATGGAAAAAAGACATAGTATAGTATGTCATCCGAAATCATGGAAAAAAGTCATAGTATAGTATGTCGTCAAAAACCATGAAAAAAGTCATAGTATAGTATGTCGTCCGAAATCATGGAAGAAAGTCATAGTATAGTATGTCGTCCAAAACCATGAAAAAAGTCATAGTATAGTATGTCATCCGAAATCATGAAAAAAAAAGTCATAGTATAGTATGTTGTCCAAAACCATGAAAAAAGTCATAGTATAGTATGTCGTTCGAAATCATGAAAAAAAAAGTCATAGTATAGTATGTTGTCTAAAACCATGAAAAAAGTCATAGTATAGTATGTCGTCCGAAATCATGGAAAAAAAGCCATAGTATAGTATGTTGTCCAAAACCATGAAAAAAGTCATAGTATAGTATGTCGTCCGAAATCATGAAAAAAAGTCATAGTATAGTTTGTCATCCCAAATCATGAAAAAAAGTCATAGTATAGTATGTCGTCCAAAACCATGAAAAAAGTCACAGTATAGTATGTCGTCCGAAATCATGAAAAAAAAGTCATAGTATAGGATGTTGTCCCAAATCATGAAAAAAAGTCACAGTATAGTATGTCGTCCAAAACCATGAAAAAAAGTCATAGTATAGTATGTCGTCCGAAATCATGAAAAAAAAGTCATAGTATAGTATGTCGTCCCAAATCATGAAAAAAAGTCATAGTATAGTATGTCGTCCAAAACCATGAAAAAAGTCATAGTATAGTATGTCGTCCAAAATCATGGAAAAAAGTCACAGTATAGTATGTCGTCCAAAACCATGAAAAAAGTCATAGTATAGTATGTCGTCCAAAACTATGAAAAAATGTCAATGTATGGCATGTCGTCCAAAACCATGAAAAAAAGTCATAGTATAGTATGTCGTCCAAAACCATGAAAAAAAGTCATAGGACAGTATGTCGTCCCAAACCCTGAAAAAAAGTCATGGTATAGTATGTCGTCCGAAATCATGGAATAAAGTCATAGTATAGTATGTGGTCCAAAACGAAGAAAAAAGTCATAGTATGTCGTCCCAAATCATGAAAAAAGTCATAGTATAGTATGTCATCCAAAACCATGAAAAAAGTCATAGTATAGTATGTCGTCCCAAACCCTGAAAAAAAGTCATAGTATAGGATGTCGTCCAAAATCATGGATAAAAGTCATAGTATACTATGTTGTCCCAAACCCTGAAAAAAAGTCATAGTATAGTATGTCGTCCGAAATCATGGAAAAAAGTCATAGTATAGTATGTCGTCCGAAATCATGAAAAAAGTCATAGTATAGTATGTCGTCCCAAACCATGAAAAAAGTCATAGTGTAGTATGTCGTCCAAAACCATGAAAAAAGTCACAGTATAGTATGTCGTCCAAAATCATGGAAAAAAGTCATAGTATACTATGTCGTCCAAAACCATGAAAAAAAATCATAGTATAGAGTGTCGTCCCAAATCATGAAAAAAAGTCATAGTATAGTATGTCGTCCCAAAATCATGGAAAAAAAGTCATAGTATAGTATGTCGTCCCAAACTCTGAAAAAAAAGTCATGGTATAGTATGTCGTCCGAAATTATGGAATAAAGTCATAGTATAGTATGTCGTCCAAAATCATGAAAAAAAAGTCATAGTAAAGTATGTCGTCCAAAACGAAGAAAAAAGTCATAGTATAGTATGTCGTCCAAAATCATGAAAAAAGTCATAGTATAGTATGTTGTCCCAAACCCTGAAAAAAGTCATGGTATAGTATGTCGTCCAAAACCATGAAAAAAGTCATAGTATAGTATGTCGTCCCAAACCCTGAAAAAAGTCATGGTATAGTATGTCGTCCGAAATGGAAAAAAGTCATGGTATAGTATGTCGTCCAAAACCATGAAAAAAGTCATAGTATAGTATGTCGTCCAAAACCCTGAAAAAAAGTCATGGTATAGCATGTCGTCCGAAATCATGGAAAAAAGACATAGTATAGTATGTGGTCCAAAACGAAGAAAAAAGTCATAGTATGTCGTCCAAAATCATGAATAAAGTCATAGTATAGTATGTCGTCCTAAACCATGAAAAAATTCATCGTATAGTATGTCGTTCCAAACCCTGAAAAAAAGTCATAGTATAGTATGTCGTCCGAAATCATGGAAAAAAAGTCATAGTATACTATGTCGTCCAAAACCATGAAAAAATGTCATGGTATACTATGTCCTCCGAAATCATGAAAAAAAAGTCATAGTATACTATGTCGTCCGAAATCATGAAAAAAAGTCATAGTATAGTATGTCATCCAAATTCATGAAAAAAAAGTCATGGTATAGTCTGTCGTCCCAGAAACAATCAAAAAAAGTCTTAGTATAGTATGTCGTCCGAAATCATGAAAAAAAAGTCATAGTATAGTATGTCGTCCCAAATCATGAAAAAAAGTCATAGTATAGTATGTCGTCCCAAATCATGAAAAAAAGTCATGGTATAGTATGTCGTCCAAAATCATGAAAAAAAGTCTTAGTATAGTATGTCGTCCAAAACCATGAAAAAAGTCATAGTATATATGAGGCAGTGTAAGAAATTTAAGGTTTGGGAAGATTGTTTATTGACTTTCCAGCAGAAGTTATATTGTGTTATGGGGACACATTGAGTTGACTAAGTAATCATGTTTTTGTAATACTAGTGAAACGTCAGTGGTTGAGCCCAAAATGAGTTGAATTAGCAAAGCGCTAATAAAGAGCACAATCTTGCCATGGATTCCGCAGACTGTAACAGCGGGTCAGTTTGTACACAGTAACCAAAACAGTCTTGTAGTGGATGCTGTAATATCACGGCCAAAATACATGAGATACGTTGTTGCTCAACACCTCGGCCGAGGCATGCTCTCAGCAGAGCACATCTATTATAATCAACTGAAGCTGTTACACTAACCACGGAAGCTGTGCTCGCCTGCACTGGTACCGCACTGCTCAATGTTAATATAACGCACTGGTCTATTTCTTCTTCTATAAGCGCGGCCTTGTCGCCCTCCAACAGCTACACAGAGCTAATTAAAAAATGACAATGTGTTCAAAAATAAAAACGAATATTTCTTGTAACAGAAGCAATGTGAAGCAGCAGAGCAACGTTGTGTTTTTACATTTCACATTAAAACAAATCAAGTCAATGCATCCTATGGTTTAAATGCTGCAGGTAATTACTTCACTACCAGTTAATACAGTGTGCGCTTCCAAACCCTGCAGAAACACCTGCATCATTACTTGGCAAAACTCAATACACACATAGTGAGGCTGGCAGCGACCACACACTGCAAAGATGGAGTCAGTGTAGCAGGTGAAAAACCCTGCTTCACTCTGCCTACGTGACGCGACATGACTGTGCCCATGTATTTCAGCCGTCAGTATAAAATTCTTTTCTTACATTAAAACATGCCTCTGTCAGACAGAC